GTGCTTCCTGAATGAGGACACTACACCATGTTCCAGAACCATGTGCATTCTTGGAAGGATACCTATCTCCACCTCTCTTCAGCGCTGCAAGTCCTGCCACCTCTGTCTGCCATAGGATCCGGAAGACTCATCTCATCGTGCCTTTGACTCTTGTTCGTGGTCGGAATCTGTTCATTCCTCACTTGCCAGGTTTAAATCCTCCAATACTCAGTTCATGGTACTCTGTCACTGCCTCCTATCCTTCTCCATGTCCTCCACCTTCTCATTCTGCCTTCGGGAATTCATAGTCAATCACGAAACTCACAAATCTTCAACTCCCCTGAGAGTCCCTTTAACTTTCTCCTGTATTTGTACCCTGCTTTTCCTGGAGGCTTCTCAAGCAGAGGCTTTTTCTCTCCCACACCCCAAGCACTGATGGCTGGAGGCGCGGCGTATGTTCTTCTTGCTCCTCATGGCTGCTTCCCAACCGTTTCTCCACCCTTCTTGAGTGCCGTGTCGTCAGAGTATAACCGGCCTCTGCTCTGTCTTGTCCTCTACCCTCTTCCAACTCCAGGGATCCTCCCCCTCACTCCTTAAATGTTTTTACTCTTGGCTTTCTGTCATGCTCTCCCATATTGATGCTGTAACAATTCTTGGTGATTTCAAACTACGGTCAGATGGTTCTTCCAAAACACTGGCTTATCTCCATCCTGTAGCACTTCTGTGCAATCCAGACTCCGTATCTTACTTCTTAGTCAACATCTCCACTTGGATATGTAACAGGCACTTCAAACGGACATGTCCAAAATTGAGTGTATTTTACTTTCTCTGTATCTGCTCCCTCAAGGTCTTTCCAATCTCAGAAAATAACAATTCCATCCTTTTTGTGTTCAGGCTCCAACCCTCAAGTTATCCTTTGACTCTCTCACTTTTCACATCAAGAAATCCGGGTTTCCCAATCTTCAAAATATATCCAACTACATGCCCTTCATATCACTCCTCTTGCTGCTACTTTGCTGTAGGGAAGCACTATTTCTTGTGTGAATGATTGCACTCCACGAAGGCAGATTTTTAACTGTTTTGTTCTTGGCTGTGTTCCTGGAGTTTGGAAAAGTGCGTGGTATGTAGTAGGCACTTAATACATATTTGTTGTATGAATGGATGAATGATTTCTATCTATCATCACAACCGGAGAATTCTCATTCATTATCTCTGTGAACAATGTAACTTCCCTGTTCGCTGATTGTTCACTCTCTCCAGCTCCAACACTCACACGTAGAACTGCTCCCTCTGGCAACGTCTCTTAGTCTCCCTTTCATAGTTTATGTTTTTACCCTCCTCAGCTTTGTGGATGATTTCTCTAGTTCAGTGTTTCCATTTTCAGTTCTGTCTGGACTGTTGCTTAACCCTTTTGTTGTATTGCCCACTTCCAGGTTTGTATATTTAATCCCTGCGAGTTTTCTTTAGTTGCCTTTTAAAGCTGCCATATCTTTTGATATTTTTTCTTAGCTACACTTATGTTGTCCACTTTTATGTCCTCAGTCAAATCAAATTTAATAAAAATTATTTTATATCTGCTAATTCATCAATCTTCACCATTCAGGGGACTGGTTCTCCTTTTTCTTGTTTTGAATGTCTTTTGGGTTTATTCTCACTTATGGTGGTTTGTTTCCTTATGTGCTCTTTGATTTTGGATTATGAACTTAGAGTCAGTGGGAAGGTTATGTCTGAGAAGACACTGAGCTCTGGGTATAAGGTATATTCTCCTCGGAGAAGAGTTTTTTACTTCTGCCAGGTCCACCATCTGCCAGGGAATATCTTTTTTTTTTTTGGTGAGGAACTAACCAAACTAACATCTGTTGCCAATTTTCCTCTTTTTGCTTGAGGAAGCTTGTTGCCGAGCTAACACCTGTCCCCATCTTCCTCTACTTTGTATGTAGGTCACCACCACAGCATGGCTGATGGCTGATGAGTGGTGTGTAAGTCCATGCCCGGGATCTGAACGTGTGAACCCTTGGCTGCCGAAGCAGAGTGCACCAACTTAACCACTATGCCACTGGCCGACCCTACCAGGGAATATCTTAAAATAAACTCCCGGCTCCCCCCAGCCGCTAAGAGATTGTGTTTCATTCTACCTGGAGCCAAGGCTGAGACAGATACATTGAAGTCCAATCTCCTTTTGTCCTATGAGTTCTTTTTCTTTTGCTTGTTAGATTGCCAATTGGATGTATCATGTTTTGGAAGCCTGGGATATTTTTCAGCGCTATGCGACTGATGAATTTTATTTTCTCTCCCCCATCAATGGGCTGTTAAAACCAAAGCTGCAGGTCACCACAGAATGTTGAATAGCTCCACATACCCCCTCGTTTCAGCACCCATTTTCCTCTCTGGACTTGTGACACGTCATCATTTTTGGCCTTCCAGGATTTCTCTTATAGTTTTACAAACTGTGATGTGCCTTTAAAATATTAAAATAATCCTTACCCATCCGTTTCAAGAGTGTTGTTTGTGAGGATTTTTTGGACTGTGTGGTTCACATATTGCTGAAAATGAACGTCCTCACTCATTTCTAGTGTAGATTATGAGGCTCTTGCGAGAGAAGACACAGTTTTGCAAACAAGGCCATCTTCCCTTTTCAGAATAATCAGATAATTAGGTTGGGACTTGTGACTGATCAATTGCTGTGTTATGTGGGGAAGGAGGAGGGATGGTTGAGTCATGGTGGGAATTGTGGATAAGATGGTAGTACAGGGGGAGTCCCTCTACTGGAAGCAGAGAGCACTGATAGGAAACATTAAACCGTGTTAAATATTGACATCTAATTTCAAAAGAAATACACAAGCCTCTGGGGACTAGAAATAGAGTAGAAAATCCAATTTCTGAATGGACAGCTAATATTTAGATGTATTTGTGGTACTGAGACTAAAATATATAGTGGCAACTGGGATTTCTGCTCCATTGAGGGGGCTGAAAAATCATCCCATTGCCAATCATCAGAGGTTGAAGAGGGATTGACCACTATTTCATGCTTGTGTCTGTGGTTGATCAAGGAAAGACAGATTGAAGCTGGGAATGGCCACTGTGTGATTGCTTAGAGATTAGACCTGTGACTTTCCAGAGAGACAAGTTCCAAGAGTTCCAAAAGCCTTGGTTCTGAGCTGTGGTCCAGTAAGAAGTGGACACTGTAAAAATTATAACTGTGGGACGCAGAAGATAAATGTGCCCACTCAGTGATGTGCTAACACTGAAAACATGCCCACCATCAAAAGTCACTAAGCACCTGAGACAATCCAATGTGATTAAAAACAAATAATAGGAGATTTTACCTGTGAGGAAATTGAATTAACTGACCTATCAATGTTTAAAAAATTTCAAAACATAAAGGTTGGAATACCATCCATGAAACAAGAATAGGAATTTATGATAGTAAGTGGGGAAGTTTTGAAACAAGAAGAAAGAAGTAAAAATCTTGAAAAGGAAAAAATACAATCTTTGAAATGAAAACTTTCTTACAGAAGCATAAACAGAATACTGGAAACAGTTGATGAAAAGTTAGTTAATTGAGTTAAATAATAAAGGAAGCTGGAATTGATCCTCCTCCCCCCCCGCCCCCCCCCGGCATATGATACTGAGATGTTAAGAGTCATGGGAGATTGACTGAGTAGGGCCATTATATGTCTTGATTGGACTTCCAGACGTGGGGATGTATGGGATGTTCCAAGAGACATAGAGCCAAGAGATAGAGCCTAAGATTTTGTGGGTTTTCAGGCAAGAGATAATTTCACATATTGATAATTAATAAAATTCCATCAAGCCAAAACAAGAATCTACGCGTAGAGACATTATAGTAAAACAGTAGGGCATCAAAGGAAAAGAGACATTTAAAAATATGCCAAAATGAACAGCTGAGTCAAATATAAAAGGAATAACAGCTTGAGTGGCATAAGACTTCTTGCCTGCAACAACAACAAATGGCAGAATAATGGGCTGACACCTTTAAAGTAGTTAATATCATTTTAAAATTAAGAATGAATATGTAATAAAGTGTTTTCAGACATACAATACTAAGAGAGTTTACCACACAAAAACTTACCAGACTTACCAAACCAAGATAGTTAGCCACACATAGGATATAGTGGAAAGAACTATTAAAGGATATTCTTCAGCTTGAAGAAAATTGAAACTAGACTTCAGGAGTGGAAAGCAAGTATAAAAAGGGAGAGAAGAATTGGCAAAGCATGTTGGTGAATCTAAATAGTATTGATGTTTTAAAAAATGAAATCATCTTGTTACTTTAGCTTTATCAGTTGTATTTTATTTCTTTTATAAAACGTGAAGCAAATGTGGTAATAAATTAACTTTTTAAAATTAGAAGTTTGACTTACATAAGAGAAAACTCAGGGTAGCATTGAAAAGGTATAAAATACTAATGTGGAATAGCCGGAACGCAAACATTTTACATCAGTCTATTGGTTGAAATCATCAGATGAAGGGATTTAAAAAAGAAATACATATCCCAATGCATACTGAAAATATCTGACAAAATCCAACATCTTTCATAAAGGAAAGTGAACCGACTGGAAGAGAACCCCAGCAGGTTAAGAGAAGCTGTGAACAAACATTATACTATTAGGTATAGTAACCCTCAGACTATTTTGCAGTTTTCCAGAAGAGCAGCTGGAAACACCAAGAAAGAGAAAAGCCATGGCTGAGAATCTTCATAAATTCATGAGAAAGCATACAAGGAAACTCACAGCCTGAGAAATCCAGTGATTTCTTGGTTTGGGAGAAACGGGAGCAACGCTATGATGTTAGAGAAACAGCAAAGTTTGAGAGAAAATAACTGATGCCAAACGAGGGGAAATGGAGGGGCCTGAGCAGGATCTTGCAAAGAAGCCCAGACGTCTGAAAACGCATTGTCTGGTATCCCTGGACAGATTTTCGATTTCAAAGATAAGGTCTAGAATCTGCTTTCTCTTCCGGACGTCTTCATCTGCCGCTATAGGCAGTCTGCACGGAAAAAGCAATTGTTTGCACATGAGGTACTCAATAGCCAGGTTGATGGATATTCAGTGTAAAGGACTCTGGGAATCCCATAGGAACCCCAGGGGGTAGCCAGAGTTGTGTGTGCGTGTGCGTGTGTGTGTGAGGGCAGTTCATTCCTGGAAGAGGCGTCTCCGGGCCTTGCGCGGAGGACCAATAGGGCGCGGGGGGCGCGCGTGGGGACCTGGACTCGGAGAGGGAGGCAGAGGTTGGAGGGGCGAGGTGGGAAAGGGCTCCAGAAGGTGGAAGTCCAGGTGGTAGTAGGGGCCAGGAGAGCGTCTCTCTGGACTAGGGGTGGGGGCCCAGGGCGAGGGCTCTGGGACGCGGCCGTGCGGGGAGGGGCCGGACTCCCTTCCAGCCGAGGGGCGGAGCCCAGCGACTGAGCCGGCTGCAGGGGCCGCCCAAGACGGCGGGAACTCAGGGTCGGCGTCCTCGTCGTAGGCCTCGACTTGGGCGGCGACCTCCGGGACAGATGCGCAGAACAATCCCTGCTCGACGGCGGCGGCGTCCCCGGGAGCGCCCGGGAAAGCGGCCGGTTCCAGGCCGAAGGGCGAGTGGGCCTGGCCTCCGGAGCGTTGGTCGCCGGCGTCCAGGAGGGCCTGGGGGACCAGCACGAGGGTGTGATCTCCGAGAGACACTTGCAGGACCGACGTTGGCTCGGGCTCCAGCAGCAGGTCGACGTGGTCCAGGGGCAGCTGCAGGGCGCAGCCCGCGGCCAGGACCACGACGGAAGTGAGCGCGGCCGGGGCCGGGGGCCCCGCCAGGTCTTGGAGGCTGGGTGCCGGCTGGGCCTCGGGGCCCGCGGGCTCCTCCCACCGGCGGCGCTTGGCGGGGCCGGGTCCTCCGGGCTGCGGTCCCCACCAGGGCGCAGGGTAGGCGCTGGGGCTGCGGAGCCGGCTGCCCATCACGTCGACGCGCTGCGCGCTTTGCTCCCGGGGCCTGGCGGAGGGCATGGGGAGCCGTGTCCTGCACGCGGTGACAGGTCTGGACGCCAGCAGAGGCGGGCTGCGGGCGGGCGGGGCGCAGGCCGGCGCGACGCGGGCGAGTCGTGGGAGCTCGTGGGGCGCCGCGGGGAGGCCGCGGTCCTGGCTTCTCGGGGAGCCGCGCCGGTGCAGCGCTGGGCCTCGCGCGTTCGAATCTCCTGCTCCTCACCCCGGTCCGTTTGCGCCCGGACGGCCAATGGTGTTGCAAGTGACGCCTGCCTAAGCAAAGTCGCAAATGTCACGCTAAGCCCCGCCCCCTGCCTGGCTTCACCCCGTGGAGATCGCGGTATCTGTGCAGCCCAATAGCGGCGGCTGTAGGTGGTATGTTTCTGTCGGGAAATACGTTTTTACAGGCCTCTAGGGGGAAGAATGACGTATGTAACTTGTTCTTAGGAAAAAAGATACCAAGAATAGAACTTCAAACATTGCTCACTTTTCTGGCTAATGTTTTCCTGTGGTTTTGGGCATTTTGGAGAAAAGACCACTCAAATAGACCCCCACTCCCCCACCCCAACCGGACCCATCCAAATGCTTCATGAAAGTCCTTTGATACTTGGTCTTTTCATTTCAGGACCAAATAGAAAATACTGATTTCTCTTTAGGAAAAGTTCTGTTTTAATACCAGAGTAAAATGTGGCTCTTTTTTTCCTGAAGGTTAAGGCTGCTCTAAAATTATTAATAATATCAATAAACATTTAAGCAATTTTAATATAATTAAATTGTTTTATTGAGCACTTATTATATGTCCATTATTCTATTGAGTGTTTTAAAAAATGATCTTTTTCTTTAAAAAACCCCAGCACTTTATTGAGGTATGACTGACATAAAGTTGTACATATTTAATGTATACAACTTGAGTTTGGAGATAAGTGTACATCCATCACCACACTCCAAACCATCACCACAGCCAATGCGATGAGCATATCTATCATCTCCAAAAGACTCCTTTTCAGCCTTCACAGCAGCTGAAGCTCAGAGTGATAAAGTAAGTTTTACAAAATGCAATATCTACTTTGTGTTAGATATAGGAATCAGATGTAGACGAATCTGGTTTTAAATCATGGACTCTACTCATATATTTATTGCATACACCTAAAAATGGATCGTTAATTGGTACTATGTGTGCCTTTTCAAATTAATAGGTAATGCCTCCCCCCTTTTTTCAACGTGTTCAAGGAGTTCACACTCCTGTGAGCAGAGTATGTTTCCATTTCACTACATCCTTGCAAACATTTCTTACTGCTAGACTCAAATCTTTTCCAACTTAGTGTAGTAAAACGCTATCTCTTGTTTTCAGTGTGCATTTCTGATTGCCAATCGTGGCGGATCATTTTTTCATATGCTTGTTGGTCATTCTTATATCTTCTTCTTTGAAATGTTCCTATCTTCTATTTCCTTACTTTTTAAAAATTGGGTTTCAGCCATACTGTATACCAGTCATTTATCAAATGTATGTGTAGCGAATATCTCTATCACAGTCTTTGAAGACTTTAGCACTTGATTCTCTATAATTCTCGCCTATTCTACCTCTGGTGAAATTTGTGGTGATTTCAATATTCTCATAGGTTTTTCTCCCCCAAATTGTGGCCTCTTAGTTCTCTTCCTCTTCAACAATTTTGTCCTCCCTCTTACTTCATTGACTCATACTCTTGACCTTGTCATTACTCCATGTTGTAACCCCTTCATAATCACAACTTGAAATATTTTATTCTCAGAGAGCACCACCTCCTAACTTTCTAGCTAAGTCATTTAAGTATCCAAACTCTATTAGCCCCTCTGGAAAAATCCATTGATTCTACCACCTTTTCATGGAAACTGACACCATCGGGTCCTCACTTCCCTCCTTACCCAGAACTTAAATTCCATGGACAGTCATTATAATCACTGCTATGTTTATATGTTCATCTCTCTTTCCTGTCTTCTGCTTTGCTGGTTAAATATATCTGCTACTCTGTGCCAGCACTTGTGCAGCTGAATAGGGCTGAAGAAAAATGCTCAACCCCATTGACTGGTCTCCCTTTATGTTCATGATCACCAGCCTCAGATGGGCTCCTAATACTGTCCACTCATCTTACTGTGTTGCTCTATTCCTTTCAACCTCTCGCTCTTCTAGATGAATATTGCATGCTTTCTCTTCTCTCTCCAGACCTCCAATACCTCATCTATTATTTTCACTCCTAGATGGTCACCTTGCTTCTCTTTCACTGAGACAACAGAAGCAATCAGAACGTATTTTCCAGGGCTGGCCCTATGGCATAGTGGTTTGATTTGGTATGCTCCACTTTGGTGGACTGGGTTTGCAGGTTCTGATCCCAGGTGCAGACCTACACCACTTCTCAGTTATGCTGTGGCAGCAACCCACATATATAAAAGTGGGGGAAGGTTGGCACACATATTATCTCAGGGCTAATATTCCTCAGCAAAAAAAAAAAAAAAAAAAAAATCCAAAATTCCCACAATCACATCTCACCGCAATCACATCTCACCAGGCTCCATTGGGACTATATATTCTGCCTTCTCTCCTGTTCCCGTAGGTGAATCGTCTGTGCTCTTAGCAAAGGCCATTTCCTCCACTTGTGCAATTACTCTCATCTCATTTTGCTTCCAAGAACATCACTCTGGCAATTCTCTTATCTCTATCCAGCATCATCAAATTTTAGCTACCTCTACGGTATTAATATCTTCAATATATAATTGAGAGGTAAACTCTTCCATCTTAAAACAAACAGAAACTCTCTTGACATGACTTTCTCCTCCAGTTTCCACATCAATTTGCTCCTTGCTTATACACAAAAACTCTTGAATTAGTCAACTACACTTGCACTCTCTAATTTCCCTCCTCCCACTCTCTTTTGAACCCACTCTCATCAGACATCTGTTCATGCCAGTCGTCCATAAGCACTCTCATTAAGGTCACCAATGATCCCCACATTATGAAATACAGTGGTTAATTCTCAGTCCTTATCGTGAGTTATGAGCAGCATTTGACACAGTCATTCACTCTCTCTGTTAAACATTTTCCCCTTGGCATCCAAGATCTCACACTCTCCTGGTCCATCTCTGACTTCTTCTCAGTTTCCTTAGCTGTTTGCTTCTCATTCTGAAGGTTGGAATAGCCCAGGACCCTGTTCTTGGCCTTATCTTTTTTTCTATCAGCCTTCACTGTCTTACTTTAAGTGCCATCTGTATGTTGGTGACTCCAAAATACCAGTCTCTCTCCTGTCCCTTTCTCACAAACATCCAACTGCATTGTCAGCATTTTCTCCTGGATGTCTAAGTCGAACCATCTGCCATTTTCATTTTTGTAGGTCAGAATGGTTGAATATTATCAGTTTTATATACGTCAATCTAATAATAGGCAGTCCAAACTTCAGGTCCAAATTTGAGCTCCTTGTATTTCCCCAAAACTGATCCTTTCAAAGTGTTCTCCATCACAGTAGTTGGCAATTCTTTCCTGTTGTTCAAGCCAAATACTCAGAATTATCCTTGAGAGTCTCTCTTTCACATTTCACATCCATTACACGTGGATATCCTGGACCACACCACTTCTTACCATCCCTCCTGCTACCACCCTGCTGCTACCTTCATCCCTTCAGTGAATTACTGTAGAAGCCTCCAAACTGGCCTCCTGGCATCTCTTCTTTGTCTTTCCGAGCTAATCTCCACACAATAGCTGGAGTGATTCTGTTAAACCACAAGTCAGATCATGTCACGCCTCTTCTCAAACATCTCCAGTTTCACTCAAGGTCAAAGCCAGTGTTTTTATATGGGCCTGCAGGGCTCTATATGATGGGGACTTCTTACCCCCATTATCCGTCAGACGGTACCTGCTTTCACCCTCTCCCTTGCTTCTTCTGATACAGCTCTCTGGCCTCTGCTTTTCCTAGAAATTGACAGGCACACTTACAGATCTTGCAATTGCTCTTCTACCCATCTGTCTCCACACTTCCTCACTTCTTTCAGACCTTGACTCAGACGGCTTCATCTCTGAGGCTTTCCCTGAGCGCACTGTCTAAAATGGCAACTGTGCGCTTAAGGTTTAGACTTCTGCTCAATTTCTGGACCCTGTAGAGCTGCTTAATTATTTTTACAATTTATATCTATGTTTAATATTTTTTCTTGTCAATATTAAATGTCTGTAGGAGGGAAAGAATACTCCCTCCCCTTACTGACTACCATCTTGACCAGAATTCACACAGACACATGCACACACACACACACACACACACTTAAGCTATACCATGTGCCCTCCCATATATCACAGAGTAGAGAATCAGCAGTTAATCAGCCTTAGAAGAAATTCGGGCTCTGTTGTTTCCTTTGCTGTGCAGAAGCTTTTTAGACTGATGCAAATTCACAGCCTTTTGTTGCCTGTGCTTTTGATGTTCATATCCAAAAAATCATTGCCCAGACCAATGTCAAGAAGTTTTTTCCCTGTTTTCTTCTGTTTCAGGTCTTATGTTTAAGTCGTTAATGCATTTTTTGTTGTTGTTGTTATTGAGAAGGATTGGCCCTGAGCTAACATCTGTTGCCAATCTTCCTCTTTTTGCTTGAGGAAGATTGTCACTGAGCTAACATCTGTACCAATCTTCCTCTATTTTGTATGTGGGACGCCACCACAGCATGGCTTGATGAGCAGTGTGTAGGCCTGCGCCTGGGATCTGAACCGTGAATCCCAGGCTGCTGAAGTGGAGAGTGTGAACTTAATCACTCTGCCACCAGGCCAGCCCCTCATTAATCCATGTTGAGTCTGTTTTTGTATATGATGTGAGATAAAGGCCCAATTTAATTCTTCTGCATGTGAATATGTAGTTTTCCCAACACCATTTGCTGAAGAGGCTATCCTTTCTCTGTTGTGTATTGCGGGCACCCTTGTTAAAGATCAGTTGACTGTAAATGTGTGGGTTTATTTCTGGGCTCTCTATTTTGTTCCATTCATCTATATGCCTGTTTTTATGCCAGTACTGTACTGTTTTGATGATTGTAGATTCACAATATACTTTGAAATCAGAAAGTGCAATGCTTCCAGCTTTGTTCTTGCTCAAGATTGTTTTGGCTATTTGGGGGCTTTTGTGGTTTCATATGTGTTTTATGATTGTTTTTTCTGTTTCTGTAAAGAATGCCATTGGGATTTTGATAGGGATTGCACTGACTCTGTAGATCACTTTAGGTGGTATGGACATTTTAACAACATTAATTCTTCCGATCCATGAACACAAGATGTCATTCCGTTTATCTATCTTTAACTTCCGTCATCAGTGTTTTATAATTTTCAGCATACAAGACTTTCACTTCTTTGGTTAAGTTTGTTCCTAAGTATTTTATTCTTTTTGTTTCTGTTATAAATGAGATTGTTTTCTTAATTTCCTTTTGAATAGTTTGTTTTTTGTGTATAGAAATGCCACTCATTTTTGTATGTTGATTTTGGATCCTGCAACTTTACTGAATTTGTTTATTAATGCTAACTTTGTTGTTGTTGACTCTTTAGAGTTTTCTACACG